TTTTTATATATTTGACCACTTTGGCCTTGAAGAAAGGTTAAATGCACTTATTCGAGGAAATTATTATAGCAATCCATCCCAGGTACCTAGTTCTGACCAAATAGTTTTACTCTCGGCCACTTGGCTATTCATAAAAAGTTGCTTGAAAAATCATTTTAAATACATTTGACCCTTGTGCTCTTGAAAGAAAGTCAAGGTAATTTATATGAGGAAATGTTAGCAGTCCATTGCGACACTGAATATTGATGAAGGTCATTCATTTGAACAAACCTGGTAGCCATTTATCCCAGCTTGCTACTTGCCAAATATCATCAACCTACGATATATATGGTTATCCAGAAAAGTTGTTTGAATTGTATAACACATTTTACCCCTCTGACTTCGAATATGGATGAAGGTCATTTATCCCAACTTCCTACTTGCCAAATATAATTACCCTATAGCTGAGCCTTCTGGTTATTTAGAAGAAGTCGTCTAAATTAAGAAGTTGCCGACTACTTTGGGCCAGGTGAGCTAAAATTTGATAATTCTAAAGAATGGCTGCTACCGAAAAAGCTTTGCACGTGAGTACCCGTTGTCTGTCCACAAACAGGCTCTTTATCAGAAAAACAACCGTACCAATTCTGCGATAAGGTTTTTTAAAAGTAAAAATTTGACGGCTGCACATGGGAAAATATTCTTTATTTTTTACTACCGATGAGGCTAATCTGCATGCAGCCTTAGGTTGAATTAAAAAGAAAGGAAAAAACATAAAGCGAAAGTATTTCTCGTTTCCGGAAAGTGCCGACCATACCCGATTGAAGACAGCGAAGGTTACGTGAGACAATTCTGTAGGATACCCATGACCCCTCCCCCCGAGTATGCAGATGCAAATTGAAACAAACCCCGGATGTGCACGTAGTAGTAATTGGATTGTTTGGCTGAAGAAAATGGCGGAAGAAAACAGCACGATTTTAGGTTAGAAAACGCAACTCATTTATTGAAATGTAGGTACTTCATTTATGATAACTCATGTAGAAATTTCAAGTACTTATTCCGTATGTTATTCCACGGACTTAGATAACAATCTAATTCCGTGGTTATTCCTAATAATTCTAAGCCTGTTTTTAACCTCCTTATCACTAAACCCTCCTGGTGTCGGTGGCCCTCCCTGTGGTGACAGGGAGTTAGAAACAGTGTTGTGGCGTTCGAGGGCGAACACATTTCTAAAGGGGGAGTAGTGAGGCAGATTGTAATTGTACATAGGATTAATGTCGCCTTCTAGCTTCAAGCTAGAGGGGAATATCCCTTTAGCTCAGTGGTAGAGCGTCCGACTAGGAACCTAGGAACACATTGTTCTCTTTCCTGTTACAAAAGCATGTACGAATTAGATGATTTGTCAGCTCACGGACATAGTCACGTGGACAGGAAGTATGCAATTCTGGTCAGATTACTTATAAACATATCAATCGCTACATCACGAATGACAAGGAAAATACAAAAACAAAAAACAAAATTTGACATAAGAATTTTATTCTTCACATATATATTTTTTTAAATCTCAACAATTCGTTCAACATATTCAAATAATGTATCAGACAGGAAACATTACTATGGTAAAACTTGTTACAAGTTCCAACAAAAACTAAAAAATGTTACAAGTTCCAAGAAAAACTCACAAGTACACATTGTGGAATATGGCCTTTTATATTCCTGTATTGATTGTTATTAAATTTGACTTAAAATTTGGATATTTTAGATAATTCTAAATGCTTATTTAATAGGGAAGAAAAATTGTAATATAGTGATATTCTTCAATGAATTTTGGTGTCATAAGTCTCAATTTTTATGAATATTAGGTACCAAAGACCATATAACTGTATTTGCTGCAATTAGCGCCCAGGCATTTATGTAATTTTCTTTTTTTTTTGGGGGGGGGGGGGGGGGGTATTAGGATAATGAAATATAAGTTATGTAACTTTAACCCTTGTTTTCACTGAAGGACATATTACATATTCAAGTGGGGCTTGCGGTTTGGAAATCAAATGTTTCATCCGCTCTCACGGGAAGACTAGCATTGATCACTAGTCATAGATCGGTAACTCATTCACCCCTGACATTTCATAATGAACTCTTACAACCTTCGATTTAGAAGATTTAAAATGTGTCTTCAGGGGTGAATGAGTTGAAGTGTAAGGACTAGAAATCATTGACTGAGTTTTCTCAGGTCTGGGAGGGGGACAGGGTCAATATTATTTCAATTCCTTCTAGAAAATGGGGAGGGGGACACTTATAGGGGAAGTGGTGCTAATTTCAGCGAATACAGTCCATCAGATATTACACATATTTGAGAATGTATTAATAACTCTACAGCAGGACTGCATTCGAAATTCACATCAAAATGGAAAATGTGTCAATTTCTTACTATACTTAAAAATGGGATTCCTAAAAAGACAAACAATTTTCAAAATTAGAAATCTTGAGATGAAAATAACCTAATTAAAGGTTAATTTTTTCAATATCATAGTATTTTGGATTTCTTATGTCCAAATATGTATATAGCATATGGCTATTTTTAAAACTCATCACAATTTGAAATAGCAATTTGTAAACAATATTTATTATCTTGGATTTCCTTGATTTGTTTGTTTTGTGTAAAAGTTTGTTTTGTTAAAAACAACAACTTTTGTGTATGGTATGTAGACTATTATTGATAGAATTCTTTTTAATAGGTAAAGTTGTTCAACATGTTTTAATATTTCTGCATGTTGATTTTGTAAATTCATTGCAAAATGCATCTGAATATTGCATGTTGTTTGATAACTGTAAGTCAACTGAGCAAATGAAAAAGAAATCATTAAAAGATTTAATCCATCAATAAGAAATATTAATGGAGAACAACACTTTTGACAATAAATAGTAATATCCGTCTAAATTGAACACTACCCAGATCTGTAGTTTACTCTGGTTTATACAGAACTATTCAGTGGTCCCTAGCAGGAAGTCTGGTTTAGCTCAGGTTTCTTAATTGGTAAAGGTTCAGTGTAGGCAGGTTTTCATTTATTTTAATTTAACTCATTCACCCCAGAAGACACATTTAAACTCTTCCAATTCAAAGGTTGGAATAGTTCATTATGAAAGTTAAGGGGTGAATGAGTAAATGTAAACAACTCGCCCTCATGATATTTCAAATACAACAATCGAGACTCAGCAGGTCCCAATTATGGAGGATGAAAAAATCTCGTCCAGAAATATTTAAAACATAAGTGAATTTAACGATGGTACAATAAGCACCAATTGATGTAAAAATACATTATTTGACTAGCACATGTCAAGCTAGAGACATTCCTCCAAGCTTACAGATTATATACACATTACAGTAGTAGTGTTGGAGTTATCTCCTCTTGTCTCTAAAACTCTAAAAAAAGAATATCCCAAGAAATCTCAAGTATTATAGGTTTATCTTATTAATAGTAATAGTAATATTCATAAATTATAAACATGTTGCTGAAGGTTGATATGCATAATCGAGTAATTTGTAAATTTAATAGTTGTTTCAAAGTAAAATAATTTAAACACCAGATGCATCCTGATAAATGGACCAGAGCTTCATTTAATTTTGTAATACAGAAAACCTTCGCTTATAATAATTTACAATTGTCATGAAATCAGCCTCTCTGTGCTGTAGTTTGATCAGATGTTTGTGGTGTTATTAACATAATTATTAATATATTTTCATACTGTTAGATTTAAATGTTTGAACAGATTGTTTTAATAAGCTTCATATTTTTTACCAAAAAATTGGATGGACACTTCTCTAGATGGCATGCTTTTATTTAAGAATATTTTGGTATTAACAAAGAGAAAGTACAATAGTCTTAATTGAAGATTTTGGAGAACTACAATTAATCAACCTTTTCACAATAAAATACAACTGAATCTCAGTATTTTGATAAAAAAGTTCATGTGTTTGTATTTCCTAGATTTTTGTGAAAAATAAATTCATGAAGAATAATTATAAATTAAGTTGATATTAAGTTGGTTAGGTTTCTAGTTAACATTTGTTGCAATGCAGGATAGAATATGGAACATGATTAATTTATAGTTTAAAATATCACAGTTTCATCAACACCACCAGGACGACCGTCGCTCATAGCATAATTAGTTTAAAACAAATTACAATATAGTACTTCATTTCAAAGTTATCTAAATTAAAAAGTCTGAACTATATATCTAAAAGAGTTATACTGGTTATCTGAACATTTGGCACATTTTATCCTTGAAAATAATTTTCCGAGTTTTTGAAAAGATATTATTTAACAAAAAAAAATAAAAGCTTACCAATCTTTAATATTTTAGGGCAAATGTGCATGATGCATTGCTCTTCAATGGCTCGGCAATACATATACAGAAACACAATTTTAGAATTCAATTTTATTTAATAGTTCAGCGGGAATGATAAGTGTTTCTTTCATAGACTTTCTCTGATCAAGTTGATATTAAATTCCATGGCATGTACAACTGTACATTTTTTTTTAATTGTAAACATTATGAAAGTATCACTGAACCGAATTGACCTTGATGTGTTATTAAGCTAACAATGCTTGATACAATTTAATCCTGGTTGTATTCAGTTGTTATTAATGTGTAGCACATTGTCAGCTTGACTCATTCTCAATATTTGAATGACATGTTTTAACCCAATTGGACACTTCTGATATTCTCTCTCGAAATCTCGTCTGGAAAAGTCTGAAAATGGAATCTTTTTGAAACGCATCCACTAAGGGTTCATGTTTACGAGCAAACTCCAGAAGCACTTCCTCTGGGCGTAGCATCGTATTAAGTCTGACTAGTGACTCTACGATTGTTCTTGGAAACACACAAAATGTCTGCAGCATGTCACGATGGAATTTAATGAATTTTTCCCCACCGTAACCATTGCCATTATGGTACATTAAATCGTATGCATCTAAAAGTCCACTTTCATTGTCTATTAACCACAGTTTGGAAGTTTTTATAGATTTTCTGAGATTTCTAATATTTTCAGAAATAATGCTTGGCTTCTTCTCCTTGTATGCTGCATCTTGCATGCTGGCAACCCTGCAAGAAAAGTTAAGAAGATTAAAATTAATATTTGATAATTATTTTTTCAATAATTTGTTGTCTTCATAGTAAATATTTATCGTGAGAAGGGGTTGCTCTTTCAGATGCAAAATTTACTACATACACAAGCTGCACAACAAATACCCTTCAAGTTTTACCAGACCTTTCGCAATATACAGTAGTGACTTATGTTAGAGGTATTCATTATTGTTATAAACCTAATACATTATACCTGTCATTTGTGTTAGAGTTATCTTTCTTAAGGGTGTATACTACCTTACACATTGTACCTGTCATTTGCATTAGAGTTATCTTCCTTAAGGGTGTATACTATGTTACTCACTATACCTTTTGTTTATGTTAGAGTTATATACCTTAAGGTTGTACAATATACCTTATACATTATTCCTGTCATTTGTGTTAGAGTTATCTTTCTTAAGGGTTTATACTACCTTACACATTGTACCTGTCATTTGCATTAGAGTTAGCTTCCTTAAGGGTGTATACTATGTTTCTCACTATACCTTTTGTTTATGTTAGAGTTATCTACCTTAAGGTTGTACAATATACCTTATACATTATTCCTGTCATTTGTGTTAGAGTTATCTTTCTTAAGGGTTTATACTACCTTACACATTGTACCTGTCATTTGCATTAGAGTTAGCTTCCTTAAGGGTGTATACTATGTTACTCGCTATACCTTTTGTTTATGTTAGAGTTATATACCTTAAGGTTGTACAATATACCTTATACATTATTCCTGTCATTTGTGTTAGAGTTATCTTTCTTGAGGGGGTATACTACCTTACACGTTATACCTGCCATTTGTGTTAGAGTTATCTTTCTTGAGGGTGTATTCTACCTTACACATTATACCTGCCATTTGTGTTAGAGTTATCTTTCTTAAGGGGGTATACTACCTTACACATTGTACCTGTCATTTGCATTAGAGTTAGCTTCCTTAAGGGTGTATACTATGTTTCTCACTATACCTTTTGTTTATGTTAGAGTTATATACCTTAAGGTTGTACAATATACCTTATACATTATTCCTGTCATTTGTGTTAGAGTTATCTTTCTTATGGGTGTATACTACCTTACACACATTATACCTGTCATTTGTGTTGAGTTATCCTTCTTATGGGTGTATACTACCTTACACATTATCCCTGCCATTTGTGTTAGAGTTATCTTTCTTAAGGGTTTATACTACCTTACACATTGTACCTGTCATTTGCATTAGAGTTATATTCCTTAAGGGTGTATACTATGTTACTCGCTATACCTTTTGTTTATGTTAGAGTTATATACCTTAAGGTTGTACAATATACCTTATACATTATTCCTGTCATTTGTGTTAGAGTTATCTTTCTTGTGGGTGTATACTACCTTACACATTATACCTGCCATTTGTGTTAGAGTTATCTTTCTTGTGGGTGTATACTACCTTACACATTATGCCTGTCATTTGTGTTAGATTTATCTTTCTTGAGGGTGTATACTCCCTTACACATTATACCTGCCATTTGTGTTAGAGTTATCTTTCTTGTGGGTGTATACTACCTTACACATTATCCCTGCCATTTGTGTTAGAGTTATCTTTCTTAAGGGGGTATACTACCTTACACATTATACCTGCCATTTGTGTTAGAGTTATCTTTCTTAAGGGGGTATACTACCTTACACATTATACCTTTCATTTGTGTTAGAGTTATCTTTCTTGTGGGTGTATACTACCTTACACATTATACCTGTCGTTTGTGTTGAGTTATCTTTCTTATGGGTGTATACTTCCTTACACATTATACCTGTCATTTGTGTTGAGTGATCTTTCTTATGGGTGTATACTACCTTACACATTATACCTGTCGTTTGTGTTGAGTTATCTTTCTTATGGGTGTATACTTCCTTACACATTATACCTGTCATTTGCATTAGAGTTATATTCCTTAAGGGTGTATACTATGTTACTCACTATACCTTTTGTTTGTGTTAGAGTTATCTACCTTAATGTGGTATGTTACTTTACACATTTGACCAGTTAGTTGTGTTATGCTAAAGTATTCTTTCATATAAAAAGAAAATATCATCAACAAATATTTCGGAGTATCCTGTAATAATGAACCAAATTGGAATTACTATCCGTTTAAAGATATTTTATAGATTTAATTCTTAGTTTGAAATTCCTTTGGAAAAGAGATTTATGTCAGGTAGCATCTAAGATTAAAACAAGCCATCCTTTTTCTGGTATATATATGTATCTCTGTCTAAATTACACTAAATCATATTAACAAAGTACAGTAATAGCTATCTCCCCTTGTCCCTAGTTACCCACACAGTGGTAAAAGGTAATTAGATGAACTCTTGAAAACCCAATTGAAAACATTTAAGTATCATAAAATAAGTTTGGACTAGTGTTATTTCCCTTAAGGTTGTATCCTACCTTTAAATTTGTACCCATCATTTATCTTGTATCTTTTTTCTTAAAAAAATAAATTGACATCTAAATACTCAATATAAAATGACAAGAGTTCACTCATACTTTTCTCAAAATTGACATTTAATTTGCTTTCTGTGGTAAAATCATACAAAAAAATGAAACATTGTTATTACTAAATAGTAGGTCTCAAATACTTTGTTGTGAATTTGAAGTTTTCACAATCTCATTGTCTTTGATATCACCAAAAAAAAATATTGGCAATTTTTTGTTTTTTCATGATAAAAAGTGAAATTCGTCAGTTTATATAAATCTTCAATCCGAGGATGCAGACATTAATTTTTCGGTGTCTGCCCTTACCTGTCGTAGTTGCCAGTGAGGTAGTCAAACATGATCATGCCTCCCCACTGGAATAGTTGTGACAGTTGAGATGTGGTGAGGTTGGAATTCTTTAATGATGCTCTATTTATCACAGATTTCTGCTCATATTTGTTCAGAATAAACTGAGGTATTTTGACTAGAGAGCTGCAACAGAAATGAGAACATTTTATATGACACGTTTTACAATTTGTGTTTCTGTTTTTGATAATACTCAAGCTTCTTAAGACGTGGACTGAATATAGATTTCTTTATGATACAATTAACTATAAAAATAAAGGCTTCATCAATTTGTCATTATTATTTTGCTTTGATAAATCATTTCTGAAAAGAAAATCAAACCTTACGTAAATATGAAATAAACAAAATATAACCAACAACAGTGTTTTGAGTGTAAAAGTTTGGTGGTGCTAGACTGGGATTGAACCCTAGTCTGGGGTTGGAACCCTAGACTGGGTTTGATCCCTAGCCTGGGATTTAACCCTAGACTGGGATGGAACCCAAGACTGGGATTGAACGCTAGACTGGGATTGATCCCTAGACTGGGGTTAGACCCCGAGACTGGGATTGGAGCCCTAGACTGGGATTAGAACCAGAGACTGGGATTGGAGCCCTAGACTGGGATCGTAACCCTAGACTGGGTTTGAACCCTAGACTGCGATTGGAACCCTAGAATGGGATTGAACCCTAGGCTGGGATCGGAACCCTAGAATGGGATTGAACCCTAGACGGGGATTAGAACCCGAGACTGGGAGTGGAACCCTAGACTGGGTTTGGACCCCTAGACGGGGTTTGAACCCTAGCCTGGGGTTGAACCCTAGACTGCGATTGGAACCCTAGACTGGGGTTAGACCCCGAGACTGGGATTGATCCCTAGACTGGGATCGGAACCCTAGACTGGGTTTGATCCCTAGCCTGGGATTGGAACCCTAGCCTGGGATTGGAACCCTAGCCTGGGATTGAACCCTTGACAGGGATTGGAACCCTAGAATGGGATTGAACCCTAGCCTGGGATTTAACCCTAGACTGGGATTAGAACCCTAGACTGGGATCGGAACCCTAGAATGGGATTGAACCCTAGTCTGGGGTTGGAACCCTAGGCTGGGATTGTTACCCTAGACTGGGATCGTAACCCTAGACTGGGAGTGAGCCATAGACTGGGATTGAACGCTAGACTGGGATTGAGCCCTAGACTGGGATTTAATCCTAGACAGGGATTAGAACCCGAGACTGGGAGTGGAACCCTAGACTGGGATTGAACCCTAGACTGGGATTGGAACCCTAGACTGGGATTGTTACCCTAGACTGGGATTGGAACCCTAGACTGGGAAGTGTTATGCTATGGTTTTATCTGATTGAGCTAGCAGCTCAACGAAAGTGGCCTGGCCAAGCTGTATGTGGCAGGGTTAAAATCTTAAGAGTGTATATAGTAAGTTTTAATTCTAAGTGTTGTATTATTTTATTAGCATCAATTAGCATCATCATCAGTGCATCATTTTACCTTTCACCAAGCACAATGTGTTGTCCAAGTATTGTCCATGTATATGTCATTGTGTGTGTATTTACCTGTAGCTAGAGTGATCTGAAAGGTGAGCGTGTGTGAGTGGTGGTGAGCCCACTTTACCTGTATAGGTATAAGTGGAACCTTCTAATTGGTCACCTGACATAAGATGATGATACCATTGGTTGAGATAATGAACTAAACATATCTTGGAGAAGCCACTTGGGCCTACTATTCTACTACGTTTTGCTGAACCTGGACATAGCTTCATACTCCTGTAAGTTTCTATTTTTTCTTCTCTATTAACATGAAGTTTGTATAATGTTGTAAAATATGTAACTGCTACCTTCTGAATGTAATTGAGTCTGACAAAATGTTGGAGGATTGAAAATTGAATTTAAAGTAATGCAAATATGTTGTAAAAAGTTAAACTGCTTGAACATAAACTATTTTCATGCATTTCTTGTAATTCTGCAGTAACTGAGATTGATAAGATATCTTGTAACATATATTAGTTTTATTTTGGTGAAGATGTTTCAAGAGTAATTAGAACCATTGTAACATGTAGTATTTTATTTATGCATAGGACCCTGGGTCGACTGAATATTGATTACATTCCGGAAGAGTCTAGGAATTCGGCCCATAGCCAGGTACACATGTATCTATATATTATTGCGAAGTTTGTATTTTGAGTATCATTCCAAGTTAATGCTAAATGTATTGCTGAGGGTAGATTATCTCCCCTTAGACTATTGATCCAAGATTTACAAGTGTAAATATATATTGTGTAAAGGTTAATAAATCTAACATATTGTGTATTGTTAGAATGATTATTTCATAGATTATTTGAAGTAACATTGAATAAATAGGGACGTATGTATGTAATGTATGTATGATAATGTATGTATGATAATGTATGTATGCATGCAAGTATAGGTGTAAATATAGATGTAAGAGATATGTATGTCATCTAAATGTGTCTTATTTGTATCTGTTACAGAATTCAGGATATACATGTAAAAGATGAAACGGACAGATATTGATTCATGGAATTTGATGATATAAGTGCAAGAATAAACATGAACTGATTTGTACAGTCTTTGTGAGTTCTTCAAACATTCACTGGGAACTAACCCAGCCCAGTTACGTGTACTTCAATTATATCCAAACGGAAGTTAAGGGGAGGTAACTGTACATAGGGAAAAAACGGTGCAGTGGGACATGGATCCTTAACGGGTGTGCAGTGGGACAGGGATCCTTTACGGGTGTGCAGTGGGACAGGGATCCTTAACGGATGTGCAGTGGGACAGGGATCCTTAAGTATATGAATGTACCCATCACTGATATACAGACTGTATTTGTATCAAAATCCATCAGTATCATAACAGAATAAGGTAAAATTTAAATCTTTCATGTTTTCATAATTACTTAATCTTATAAACAAATTGTCCTTGTCCTCCATAATGTATGATGATTATCCTGAGATGACTTACGCAAAAAAAAAGTTCAATCATATATTTTTCGAAAACATTTGAAAATGAATTTAACAGTTTCAATCGGCTTGAGATTACTACACCCGTTTAAATTTGAATTTGTAATGACCGTTAATTTACCGAGAGCTTTCCATATTAGGTATCCATTGGATAAGAGCGACGACCTTGCCGTCTTTCCAGTCGACCCTACTGTAGTTGGTTGCAAGCCACCTAGGGGAGGTGTGATTGGTGACAGATAAAACGACTGCTGGCACGTTGTCCAATCCTAGGAGCCGAGACAGGTAGAAAGACAGTACCTCACCTGTTTGGCAAGAAACATTTGGTCAGGTAAGTGAGTTAACAACGTTGGGCAAGCTGATTTGTTTGGCATCGTGTTGATTTCAGATACTCCTATTCACATAAAGCTTAATATAAGTGATTAGTTAATTAACCCTGTATTCTGCTTGATAACTAGCATTGTTTTCAGGTCAGCGACATTACATTTCAAATTTCCGACACAATGCTAAGGTAACAACAAAGAATAATAACCATATAAAACTTGAAATGTTACTCATGTGCCTCATTTAATTTAAAGTTTTTGCATGAGATTCCACAAAAAAAAAAAAAATATTGCCATTTTAAATTTGTAAAACTGCCATTTGTTGTGGTTTATTCGCTTGTAGTTAAAGAAAAATTAAAGTAAATGTTTAATTTTAATCTTTTTGATGGATGCCATCTTCCACTCTGTTTTAATATTTAATAAGTCTGCTATAGAATGGTCTGCCAAATTTGAAGTCTTACCAAGCACCATTTTGTTGTGAGGTTCCCGATACCTGGCACACATGTGCCTCCCGTCCTCCAGGGTGACAAACCCATTTTTAGGGCGCCCACATTTGTCCCAAGCTGGGGGGTCAAGGTACTGGACTCTCTCGTCTCGCACTGACGATATATAGTCCAGTGTCTCATGGAATGTGTGACCTGTAAAACAACAAAAATGTTCGTTGAGTTTCAATTAGTCAAACTCTCACATATGAAATGATTCCCTTCAATGAAACTATACATTGCTTTACACACTACACAGTTCTAATAGGAATTAACTTAACTCATTCACCCCTGAAGACACATTTGAACTCTTCCAATTCAAAGGTTGGAATAGTTCATTATTAAACTTCAGGGGTGAATGAGTTAATTAAAAACATACTATCTTCAGGTTGGTAGCACTTTCAGTTTGTTTATGAATTGCAGTTTTAGAAACATAAAAAATGATAAATGATTTTGAAAAATACATGTGTTTTGTAACCTTGAACATAATGGTAATTTGAGGGTATTTATTAGGATATGTTTTAGTAAAAAAATAACAATATAAATGAAATATGCTGTTGATGTTTCCTTTAATTATGCATTTAGATTATCTAAAACTAGTAGGGACTTCATATAGCAAAAACTCTTCCGAAAGATCAGCAAGTCCAAATTGTTAAGTTAATATTCTCATTAAAAAAACGAGAAAAATATATATTTCTACCAAAATGAAAAAATCTGAACTCAAAGCTGGAACAAAAAGACAACAATTTGGATTAAAATTTTAAAAACAATGTTTTGCACTTTTGTATAACTATATATACTGGAGACTTTTTGTGATGAGTAATGACTAATTTCATTATGGTGATTGTTTTCAGAAACAATATTTGAATTTTAAATATTAAAGATTGCAGTAACCATCAAGATTATTCATACTTTTAAAGATGGAATATATAAATAAATTGTGATTTTTTAATTAGTATAGTTATTATTCTCAATATAAAATCAATGTATTGAAAATAATTAAAATTGTGATACATCAATGATATATTGTTATATCTTTTTGATTTATTAATGTGTGTCTTGCACTCACTCTGGAATAAAATAACCATTTGAGGGCAAGATGACGGGGTCATGAGAAGGATTGAAGTCCATTATTATCATTTCTCAAAGAATTTTGAAGATGTATAAAATCCAGTCCTGTGTGGAACAAGTCTTGAAAAGTTTTCTAACAAATACTGATCATGAAAGCAGAAGAAGCGTGCCAAAATTTAACAAAAAAATATTGTCATTTTAAAAGGGCCCATGGCATGCATGACGGTATGTAAATCATCCAATTATATATGGCACGCAAGAAAATCAAATATAATTCCTTTTTGGTTAATATCTTTGACGCTTTTCACACCTTAAGTGTGGTATTAACAGAAAGTTTATAACTTTTGCTATGAAAGAAAAATAAGAAATGTGTGTTTTATCATGTTTATAAGAAAGGTGTTGCATTCTAAATTGCACTTTTTGTTTAATGCAAGGGAGGTAACTCTATTTATAGTTAGCTTTTTTGATTTGATCTAAGGGAGACTATTCATTGTGTCTTGGAGTCAATCTATACAATATATTGTATATATCGCTTGTAATTATGAGGCCTATTCTTTGATGTAATTGTTTGAAGAAGTTTTCCCGCATGTCTAACTGTCTGGTCTCCATGCCATTCTTGTGTCACTATCAACACCCTGCCTAGAGAATTAATTATGAAGAGTGAAACACCAATTTCTGTCTAGGATGGAAATAGGTGTCAATTTGGTGATGGTGGGCTACACAGGAAGTAGCGTTTGATGTGTCATAACTCAATATTGGAGGTGATTTTTCTTTTGATGTCAAGTAACGTACAGGCGGCATTCTAACCATAGTTGATAAAATCTTGTACCAACTTTTGTTCTGCCATTAACAAAAAGTCTGGTTATAATTCCTAGTAAATTCTACATGAAAATAAGTTCATCAGACAGAACTTTACATACAATTGTTGGCAGATTGATTTCAGGCGTTGGATGGTGGAGTGTTGATATGGCTTATTTACACATGTGTGTGGCCTATTTTGTTATTTCCTATCCTACCAATATGCTTTTTTTTACATATCAAAGGTAGCACCATTTTGCCACATATGGAATGTATAATGTTTGTGGGGTTGTCTAGGGGAGCAAATTGGCCATTATGTTTTTTTCGGAATGGAAATTAAGTGTCAAAACCACAATGATTCTAATGAAAACCAGTCCTCTGCTGTTGGCTGATTGCACATTTGATAACCATATGTGACCTAGTAATCTGTTGATTGGGAGTGCCAGAGCCGATTTTGATACAGACAGAGTCGGTGGACATGGAATGGCGTGTATAGCATATTAAAAATAGATGTCAAATCTCATCAATAATGAAATTGATTTTTACAGGTTCTTCCAGGCCTCCTAATATTAACTGTCATATTGCAACTCTATGAACTCCTGAAACAAGATGAGACTGTGTGAAATATAACTCAATGCTTGATTTGAGATTTATTAATATAGTTTATATGTGATGTAACTGCAAATTTCATAGGTCAATGATAAAATATTACAGCAGTGAAAATCACTTGCATAGCTATATCCCTTTTTATTTTGTAATCAAAACTTACTTTGTGACAGAAACAATGATATAATATACCTGAAAATAGACATGGGCTGTGTTGATTTCCAGATATTAGGGTTTTATGCAGGACATATAAAAGAGGATATTATTCTTCCGTAAACACTTGCTGATGAAATTTCAGTAAGATTTTTTACTGTAATCTGAAAATTTGCATTTGGATTAAGGAATATTGTAACCTATTTTAATCACTTTCCGTCCGTCGTCGTCGTCCATCGTGCGTAAACTTTTTACATTTTCAACTTCTTCTCAAGAACCAGTGGATGGATTATTTTCAAACTTGGTTTGAATCATCCTTGGTAGATGAGGCTTCAAAATTGTAAAATTGGGATTCCTACCCCAACCCCTGGGGCCAGGGCGGGGCCCCAAAGGGAAAATTAACCAATATTTCAAAAATCTTCTTCTCCAGACTCAGAGGTACATGTACTACATTCAATTTCAGTGCATAAAAAGAAAGATCATCAGGGGCTTTATTTAAATTGTAAATTTCAGGACCCCCAAGCTATCCTTTCTCCCTTGGGGAGGGGGTAAAATTTACTATAGAATATATAGGGAATAACACTTTTGGATATATTTTGACAACTTTCTGTAGGACATTATTTTTACTTATTGAGAATTATCCTTGGAGGAAGATGGTTTCAAATTGTAAATTTGGGATTCCTACCCCAACCCCTGGGGCCAGGCTGGGGCCCCAAAGGGAAAATTAACCAATATTTCAAAAATCTTCTTCTTTAGACTCAGAGGTACTACATTCAATTTCAGTGCATAAAAAGAAAGATCATCAGGGGCTTTATTTAAATTGTAAATTTCAGGACCCCCAAGCTATCCTTTCTCCCTTGGGGAGGGGGTAAAATTTACTATAGTTTATATAGGGAAATAACACTTTTGGGTATATTTTATCCATTTTCAGCAGAAAATTACTCAAACTTAGTCAGAATTATCTTTGGTGAATGAGGGTATTACATTGTAAAATTAAGATTTCTTCTCGATCCCCAGGGGCTAGGGCGGGGCCCCAAAGGGAACATTTACCAATATTTTCAAATTCTTATCCTTTGATAACATGACAAGTATTGTATTTCACTTAGTTTACATGCTGATTTCCACATCACATCTAAACAATAAAATAAAGCTACCAGTACCTATGATATAACTCAGGTGACCGCTGAGGCCCTTGGGCCTCTTGTTTTTGGTTGCTGTTAATGAAACCAGCAACCAGCGACTGACCTCAAAGATTATTGAAATTAATACCTTAATTAGTTGATAAAGGTCTTTGATCGTTTCTTGAGCTATACCAGGAATGCTGTCTATAACCAGATCACTCACTAGACTGTCGTCCTAAAGTCAAGTAATCAGCTTTTAATGAGTATGGATCAGGGTGCTGTATGTGTGATACTGTATGTCTGTCATCAGAATATTGATTGATGGTACAGGATGTTTAATTTAGCTCAGGATCTTCTACAAGGTCAAGGCTGTTGGAGGTGATGGGTATCAACTCATTAAAATCATATGTGTAGATTCTGTAGCATCCATGTAGTTGCCACATGTCAAGCATTACTTATTCAGTTATTAAGCATAAATATGTATATTTTTGTTTGATACATGATTTGAAAATTCTATGTCTGTTTGTGTTAATTGGCCCAGCACATATGATACGATAGGCAACGGTTATCTGGCTTGCTGTCTTAAACGTTTGCAGAAAGTTGAATATGGCTGCGACTTACGTCACTTTCATTTTCTGTGACAACCACTGAGGATCTACAACGATGACATGTTGGAATGCACAATATTTAGGAAATTCAGAATAATTGGATAAAACTGAATTGTTTTCAGAAAAATACCTTTAACACAAAATTTTGGAGGATTTTGAAGGGGTTAAATATAAGCATGTTTAAATGCTGATTTCTGGTCATTATAACTGGATAATATAAAAGTGTATATATACAATTGTAGTTCAGTATGGTATTTATAAAAGCAATATATTTTGTTGCAATCAGCACATCAACTAGTAGAAATAAAAACAAGTTTCATAACCTGTGATATAGTATACCAAATTAAATTGGGGTACTAATCACGGCTGAAAAACGGACGAAATCTCACTGCGAGTCTAGCGTTCTATTTTTTAAAACAAATAACGTAGAATTAAAACTTCTGAAAATGAGCCACCATAGGTAGTCAAGAATCAAGAAACATTCCAGATACAAGATCTGAATTTTTGAATATCACTGAAAAACTGTCAAAATTGTACGAATTGTGGTAGCGTGACGTTAAAGGTGCCAAGTGTTGTAATGAAAGTTTCAGCTCAGTTTTGGTTTCTCCAATGTCCCTATAGCAAAGAACATAGAATAAAACCCCTATTGTACACAGTCAGGGTCAAGATATAAGATGTCCAAGCTGTTATTTGCAGTTTGTTGCATATTGTAACAAGACCTAATACACTATTGTTATTAATGTACCTAAAAAAGTGACCAGGATGCTAAGCAATTTTATTCAAAATTTGAATGATTTAA